CATTCCTTTGGCACTGTTTTTATTTCCTTGTCACTATTTTTATTTATTTCCTTGTCACTATTTCCATTCCTTTGTCACTATTTTCATTCCTTTGGCACTGTTTTTATTTCCTTGTCACTATTTTTATTTATTTCCTTGTCACTACTATTTCTATTCCTTTATCACTATTTCCATTCCTTTATCACTATTTCCATTCCTTTGGCACTGTTTTTATTTCCTTGGCACTATTTTCATTCCTTTATCACTATTTCCATTCCTTTATCACTATTTCCATTCCTTTGTCACTATTTCCATTCCTTTATCACTATTATCACTATTTCCATTCCTTTGGCACTGTTTTTATTTCCTTGGCACTATTTTTATTTATTTCCTTGTCACTACTATTTCCATTCCTTTGTCTCTCCCTGTCAGCCCCTGGGCCAGGGAGGTTTTGTGACCCAAGAGCTGCAGCAGCTCTGCAAAAGCAAACCCAGCTTATTTTACATTTATTTCAACCAGAAATATTTTTATTTTTGTGGCTGTTTTGGCACCTCAGGACGATCTCAGGGGGATTTTCCTGGGCAATTCCTCTTTTTGTTTCCAGCAGGGCTCAGAGTTAAAACTCCCTGGGGAATTTCTGCTCTCAGGGCTGCTCTTCCTCTTTACCTGCACAAGAAGCAGCCCCAAGCAGAGCTTTGATCTGAAAGTTCTTATTCAGCACAAAATTCTGCGTTTTTAAAGGTTTGATTTGCGTGCAGCCCCTGGGGGTGAGTGCTTGTACAATGATTGAAATAGTAAAAAAAAAAAATATTCCCTGTAATTATATTATAATAGTGAAAAATCCTTGTGCAGGGTATTAAAATAATGAAAAAAATCCTTGTACAATGATTAAAATAGTTAAAAAATTCCCTGTAATTATATTATAATAGTGAAAAATCCTTGTGCAGGGTATTAAAATAATGAAAAAATCCTTGTACAATGATTGAAATAGTTAAAAAATTCCCTGTAATTATATTAAAATAGTGAAAAATCCTTGTGCAGGCTGTTAAAATAATGAAAAAATCCTTGTACAATGATTAAAATAGTTAAAAAATTCCCTGTAATTATATTAAAGTACTAAAAAATCCTTGTGCAGGCTGTTAAAATATTGAAAAAAATCCTTGTACAATGATTAAAATAGTTAAAAAATTCCCTGTAATTATATTAAAGTACTAAAAAATCCTTGTGCAGGCTGTTAAAATATTGAAAAAAAATCCTTGTACAATGATTAAAATAGTAAAAAAATAAATTCCCTGTAATTATATTAAAATAGTAAAAAATCCTTGTGCAGGGATTGAAATAATGAAAAAAATCCTTGTGCAATGATTAAAATAGTTTTAAAAAATCCCCATAATGATATTCAAATAGTAAAAATATCCTTGTACAGAGTATTAAAACAGTAAAAAAATTTTGTAGGGTATTGAAATAATTAAAAACTCTTTGTAGAAGGTATTAAAATAATTAGTAAATAATTGTTCAGGGTATTAAGAGTAAAAAATCCCTGTAATTATATTAAAATAGTAAAAAATACTTGTGCAGGGTATTAAAACAGTAAAAAAATCATGTAGGGTATTAAAATAATTAAAAACTCCTTGTGCAAGGTATTATAATAATTAAAAACTTAATTGTGCAGGGTATTAAAGCAGTAAAAAATCCTTGCAAATATGTTAAAATGGTAAAATATCCTTGCACAGTGTATTAATAATAACTTAAAAATCCTTGTACAGGGTATGAAAGTAGTAAAAAAAATCTTTGTACAGAGTATTAATATAGTAAAAAAATCCTTGTACAGGGTACTAATAATAATAAGATAATCCTTGTACAGGGTATAATAATAATAATAAAAATAATAGTAATAATAATAATAATAATGATCCTTGTAGAGGGTAATAAAATAGTAAGAAAGTCCTTGTACAGGTTATTAAAATAGGTAAAAAATAATTGCTCTGGGTTTTAAAGTAATTTTTAAAATAACTGTAAAGTAATTTTTAAAAGAACTGTAATTGTTTAAAATAACAATACAATTATTATTGTTAATAATAAAAAATCTGTGCTGGGTATTGAAATAATAATGAAAAAAGAATGGTGCAGGGTATTCAGGCAGTGCAGCCTGCAAGGACTGAGGCTCCTGCTGGGCCCTGCAGGGTGAATTCCCAGAATTTCCCAGATAATGAGCAGCAAAAGGGACACAGCTGGGGCAGGAAAAGGGAAAAGGAACTGCAGAGGGTTTGGAATGGGGATTAATCAAGGGATCAGCCTGGGAGGGGGCAGGAAAAAGGGAAAAAAGGGAAATGCAGAGGGTTTGGAATGGGAATTAATAAAGGATCAGGCTGGCATGGGGCAGGACACAGAGGAGAAGGGAACTGGCAGAGGGTTTGAAATGTGGATTTTTAAAAGGGACCAGGCTGGGATGGGGCAGGACACAGAGGAGAAGGGAACTGGCAGAGGGTTTGAAATGTGGATTAATAAGGGGATCAGCTTGGGATGGGACAGGACACTGAGAGGAGAAGAAGGGAACTGGCAGAGGGTTTGAAATGTGGGTTTCCAAAGGGCTCAGCTTGGGATGGGGCAGGACAGAGGGGAAAGAAGGGAACTGGCAGAGGGTTCGAAATGTGAATTAATCAAGGGATCAGCTTGGGATGGGACAGGACACAGAGGAGAAGGGAACTGGCAGAGGGGAGGGTTTGAAATGTGGGTTTCCAAAGGGCTCAGCTTGGGATGGGGCAGGACAGAGGGGAAAGAAGGGAACTGGCAGAGGGTTCGAAATGTGAATTAATCAAGGGATCAGCTTGGGATGGGACAGGACACTGAGAGGAGAAGAAGGGAACTGGCAGAGGGTTTGAAATGTGGGTTTCCAAAGGGCTCAGCTTGGGATGGGGCAGGACAGAGGGGAAAGAAGGGAACTGGCAGAGGGTTCGAAATGTGAATTAATCAAGGGATCAGCTTGGGATGGGACAGGACACTGAGAGGAGAAGAAGGGAACTGGCAGAGGGTTTGAAATGTGGGTTTCCAAAGGGCTCAGCTTGGGATGGGGCAGGACAGAGGGGAAAGAAGGGAACTGGCAGAGGGTTCGAAATGTGAATTAATCAAGGGATCAGCTTGGGATGGGACAGGACACTGAGAGGAGAAGAAGGGAACTGGCAGAGGGTTTGAAATGTGGGTTTCCAAAGGGCTCAGCTTGGGATGGGGCAGGACAGAGGGGAAAGAAGGGAACTGGCAGAGGGTTCGAAATGTGAATTAATCAAGGGATCAGCTTGGGATGGGACAGGACACAGAGGAGAAGGGAACTGGCAGAGGGTTTGAAATGTGGGTTTCCAAAGGGCTCAGCCCGGCCCCCCGTGGGACGCGGGGGCTCTGCAGGCAGCCCCAGGGCCCTGCTGCCTGGGAGGAGCTGCTGGGCTCTGCAGTGCCAGCAGGCTGGCAGTGCCAGCAGGGCCAGGGGAGCTTTGCTGTGCCTGCAGGGATCCCTGGGGTCTGCAGAGCAGTCCCGTGCCTCACTGCCCTTGGGGTGGCTGCAGAGGAAGTGGAGCCTGAACTGAAAGCTGATTTAATCTGTCCCACTTCTCTGGAGCTGCTGGCTTTGATTGGCAGCCTTTGTGTGCTCCGTGCCCTGGGAAAGCTGGGGTTGGTGTGGGAGGGAAGGGGAGCAGAGGACACTGCTGGTGACACCAGAAGCTGCACTGATCAGAGCAGCCCCGGGGTCCCACTTGCTGCACGTGCTGCATTCCTGCAGCTCAGCACCTCCCAGCTGCAAGGTTTGTTCCTAACTCAAAGGGATTTCAGCTGACCAAAAGATTGGCCAAAATTTATTTAAAAAAACCCCAAACAGCCAACGAGGAGCTGCAGCTGCTTTAACTCGCTTGAAGGGATATTGGAGGGATAATTTATTTCTTTTCCCCACAGAAATAAAGGGGTTTTTAAACATTTTCCTTGTTTAGTTTTAAGGAAGCCCAGGATGGGATATCCAGGTAGCAGCTCCTGCTGTGGATTCTGGGCTGGAGCAGTTTGTTGGCTCTGGGATTTCTAACAGGACCTAATCTGGTGTTTTGTGGTTCTCTCCAGTTCCTGAGGGACCCTGGCTCAGCTGCCTTGGAGGAGCTGTGCAGTCCTGCTGAGGAGGAGCCCCAGGCTCTTGTGCTTGGAGAAGGAAGTGGCCAGGAGGGAGAGGATCCTTCAGCCAACACCTCCAGGGACAGGGCAGCCACTGAAGGGCCACCCCAGTGAGTGTCACCTGCCCCAGACTGTCCAGAGGCTGCTCCCATGGTGTGGCTGCTGGATCACAGGAACATCCTGAACATGGATCCTGGATCACAGGACCATCCCTGGGATCACAGGAACATCCTGAACATGGATCCTGGATCACAGGAACATCCCTGGAATCACAGGAACATCCCTGGGATCACAGGAACATCCCCTAGGATCACAGGAACATCCTGAACATGGATCCTGGATCACAGGAACATCCCTGGGATCACAGGAACATCCTGAACATGGATTCTGGGATCACAGGACCATCCCAGGATCACAGGACCATCCCTGGGATCACAGACCCTGGTGCTCCAGGGGCCTCTGCCCAGCTCCCCCAGCTCCTCGCTCTGCCAAAGCACTGGGAAGAGGGAAGGTGGAAGGGGAAGGAAAGGAACACTAAACTGCCTGAAGACAGGTGGACCCAAGGGAGAATTCCCAGCCCAGCTTGGAGGAATAACTGCACTTTACTGATGTGGGGGAACCTGGGCTTTTTCAGGGAGCTGCAATGTGAATTCCATTTACACTGGTTTGGTTTCTGTTGGCAATAACACTCCCAGTTTGCTTTCCTGGATCATTTTAAGTGCAGGACAAACCAAAAAGGAACTTGTGGGTGCTGTCCTCGGGGTGAAGCTGTGCCAAGAGCCCCTCCCAGAGAGGTCTGCTCTTATCTGCTCCTGCCACCCTCCTGGGAGCATTAACCTGCTGTGCAGCCAGGCCAGGCCCTGCACAGCACAAGGGACCTGGGAGGAATTCTGCTCCGAGTTTTTCCAACGTTTTCAGTCACTGTCAGACACTAAAACCTCTTGCTGAGCACCAGCAGAAGAGAAGCTGACTGAGAGTTTTGGTTTTAGTGCCTTAAAGCAGAAGAGCCCAAGTTAAACCCCACATCAGCCCCTGTGGGGTCTGGAGTGTCCAATAAAGCACAAAGAACAAGTGAACCTCTTCTGTACTGAAATGGGGTTATTTGATTTTTTTTTCCCTGGGTTTGACATGAATTGTTTAAAAAATGTGGGGTTTTTTTGAAGGTGCCTGGTTGGAGGGCCCTGGCAGAGCTGAGGTGCCACTGTTCCAGCCTTTCCAGGAACAGCCCAAGGCAGCAGCTGCCAGAAGCTTCATCAGGTGTTCCCTGGCAGAGCAGATCTAATCCCTTGGGATGAGACAGGATTCTGCCAAGGGAGCTCCAGGAAAGCCTGACTCAGGTAGGAATTGCCAGCTCAGCAGCAGGTCTGCTTTAACCACCCACACTGAGGCTGGGCTGGGAGCAGCTCACAGAAAAACCCACCAAACCAAAGGCAGAAATAAGGTTAAAACCCCCTGGGAATGTGTGTGTGTGTTCCTGAATAAACCCTTGTCTGGACTGGGGGCAGGGAGTGTGGTGGTAAATATTTTCACACAAACCATTAAAAATCATTTACTGGGAGTTACTCCAGGGTTGTTGTCACTGAGCCCTCCCTGTCCCCTTGGCCTTGGGGTGTGAAAGTGCCCAGAGCACTGGCAGCCATTCCCTGTGTGCTGTCCCTCCATCCCTTGTCCCCAGTCCCTCTGCAGCTCTCCTGGAGCCCCTGCAGGCCCTGCCAGGGGCTCTGAGCTCTCCTTGCATTTGGATCCTTCTCCTCTCCAGGTGAGCACCCCAGCTCTGCCAGCCTGGCTTGCAGTTCAAGTTCCAAGTCCAGGCACAAGCTCCTGGCACTGGGAGTAGTCCCAGGGATTAGTTCCAGGCCATGCTCCTTCCTGCCTTCCCAAAGACCCCAACAAACATTCCCAAGCTCCTGGGCAAGACACCTGACAGGGCTGGACCAAACCTGTGTGGTGAGGCCCTGTGCAAAATGAGCTGCTGTACAGAATTCAGTTTTGAGCACCTGGGTTCAGTTTTATCTGGAATTCCAAGCACTGAGCACCCGTGGGATGGGGTTACTCCAGCCAGGGCACGAGGGCAGCTCCAAACTGGCCCCAGCTGCTGCCCTGCAGCAATTCCCACCCAGAGCAGCAGACAAACAATTGCCAGGCCCCAGCACAGCATTTCCCCTCAGCTCCTGCCACCAGCTTGGACATGGGGGGGCTGTAAAAGCCTTGGGAGCCAGGGGAGAGCAAATGCTGTAAAAACCACAGAGAACTCGTGAGAAGGACTCACCCCAGCAAACGGATGCACAGGGACACTCCAGGGATATCAAACAGCCTCAGCCTCACTTCCTGTTTCACTCCACTGAGATGAAACTGGATTTCAAGAATTCATTAATGGAAACAGCCATCAAATGTAAGAGAGAAATGCATTTTAGCTGGGGCAATAGCAGCCCTAAAACTGGGTGTGAGTCACTGCTAGGATTTATTGAAATTTGAAATTATTACAAGGTTGGACTGTGAGCAATAAATCCATCCATACCCCAGTTCCTTTTTAGCAGAGAGGGAACAGGTCAGGAAAACTCATTTGTCAGCAAACAGCTTCCCCTGGAGACAGTGACACTTGCATGAGCAGCAAGACATTGCTCTGACTCATGTATTCTCTTTATCAAGTACAACTGGCATCAGTTTGTTGGAGTTTTTTTATTCTAATATCAGGAAATACATTAAATACCAACTGGTATCTCTTACACTGAGCAGCATGAAATTAATTCCAAGGACTGTGGTGCCAGCAAATGTCCTTTGTGCCAGAGCCATCACAAGTCAGGAATACTTTGCTTTGCCATGCACAACCTGCTGAGTGTAGGGACTTGCTTAAAAACCCATAACCTTTTACCAAAAGAAGAAAAAGAAAAAAAAAAAATCTACTTTATTTTTACCTGAACAATAATATAAAATGTTTAAAATCAGCTCTTATCCCAGCAGGGCCCCTGCTCTGGGATGGGCTCTGTCCTGGTTGCTCACTAACTGCTCACGGACACGGGTGGAGCTGTGGAGGAGGAAGCTGCTGGGAGGGCAGGGATCTGCAGGAGAAAGCCTGGAGCTGGAGCAGGAAAGCCTGGCAGCTGCCCTTCCCTCTGAAATGACAGATCCTGTCCTATGCACACATTCCCAAGTGTGTCCTGGCACGGGAGGAGCTTCGGACAGAGCCTGGAATTGTCTCAGTTCCGCCAGGCTGGGAAGCAAACCAAGGACAAAGGACTGTGAATTATCTACAGACAAGAACCACGTGGCAGCTGTGGACCAAGCCAGCAGGGAGCTCAGCCCCACAGCTCTTCTGTTCTCCCAAACTTGTAGATCAGGGTGCTGAGGGGGAAAAAAAGAGAAGAAATAGAAATCAGACCACGCATGGGGTAATTTTAGCAGTATCCTTAAATCTCACCCTGTGCAAATCAACAGCTCTGAACTTTTAGTCAGATCAGGATTTGGGTTTGGTGTTTATATTTGGTTTCCTGTGCATGGCTGGAACTGTGGGAGCCAGCTGAAGCCCAAACAGAAAAACACCCTTCTGAAGGAAATGCCTGGGATTTATGAAATCCAAGGAGTCCAGAGCAGCAAGTCTCACTCTGCTGCCTGGGAACCAGCTCAGCCTGACAGGATGTGCTGGGATAAAACCTAAACAATTCCATTTTCATCAACAAATCAGAAAGAATATTAAGCCTGTGGTAGAGAATCAGATCCATGTTAAAGTTTGATTTCCAAATTGCCACGTTGTGGCTGCCCCATGCCTGGCAGTGTCCCAGGCCAGCCTGGACAGGTTTGGAGCCCCCTGGGATGGGGAAGGTGTCCCTGCCCAGGTGGGACTGGATGGGATTTAAGCTCCCTTCCAACCCAAACCTGGGATTCTCAATAAGACTAAAAACTTCAGGCACAAAATCTGCCTTCAGCAGCTTCCCTTCTCAGTCCCAGAGGGGATTTAGGAGCTGCTGTTTCCTGCAGGAATATCCCTCATTTCCCAGAGCCCATCCAGCCAGGTCACTGCAGAGCATCTGCTGTGGGGCTGGAAGGAAAAGGATCAGCCAGGAATTGAAAGAAGAAAGGAGGTGAGATGAGACTTCCAGTGACTCATCTTGGAAGTGACACTGTTTAACACTTTCAGTGCCATTTAATAAAATCTGTGGATTGCAAAATGCATTCCACAGCTACAAGGAGTTATTAGAGACTCCAAATTGATTTCCAACTGTTACATGATAGATTTAATAATATTATTTGAAATAAATCCAGTGTGCTGTTACAAAACACACCAAAAAGGAATTCTCACTGTTTATAACTGTGAGCTCAGCCAGTGAAAGGAAATACAGGGAATATCAAGTACCAGAGACCTGAGCCATTGGTGTGAAACAGCCTGGAAAAGGGGAATGGAATCCCCAGCTGGCTCTGCTGGGAGGGGAGCCAAGGGATTGTAGGACAGAGGTGAGTGATTGCCATTTTCCAAAGACACTGGCAATGCAGGAAACTCTGTGCATCCCTGGCCACACACATTCCAGAGCTGCACATCCAGGGGAGCAGGGACAGCTGGAACAACAGCAGTGGCAGGGAGCAAAGAGCCTGGCCAGGGGCAAATCACACCTTGTTTCTCAGCTCTGCAGCAAAGGGAGTAGAAAACAGAGCTGCTTTTCCAGGAGGATCAATGTATGGAAGTAGGAAAGTCCCTTTGGAAAGGGGGGGATTTCCCCAGGTAACTTACCTGAAAAATATTAATGCATTCTGGAAAAACACTGCTAATCCAGGGTACACATTAGTGTCTGCAGAGGAGGAACAGAGGAAACACTCAGTGCTTTAGTCCTGGCACGAGGATTTAACAGGATAGTCCAGCTACTGGGAGCTGGGTTTAACAGGATATTCCAGTTACTGGGAGCTGGGTTTAACAGGATAGACCAGTACCTGGGAGCTGGGGTTAACAGGATATTCCAGCTACTGGGAGCTGGGTTTAACAGGATATTCCAGCTATACTGAGAGCTGGGTTTAACAGATATTCCAGCTACTGGGAGCTGGGTTTAACAGGATAGTCCAGCTATACTGGGAGCTGGGTTTAACAGGATATTCCAGTTACTGGGAGCTGGGTTTAACAGGATAGTCCAGTTACTGGGAGCTGGGTTTAACAGGATAGACCAGTACCTGGGAGCTGGGTTTAACAGGATATTCCAGCTATACTGGGAGCTGGGTTTAACAGGATAGTCCAGCTACTGGGAGCTGGGTTTAACAGATATTCCAGTTATTGGGAGCTGGGTTTAACAGGATATTCCAGCTGCGGGGAGCTGGGTTTAACAGATATTCCAGCTACTGGGAGCTGGGTTTAACAGGATAGTCCAGCTATACTGGGAGCTGGGTTTAACAGGATATTCCAGTTACTGGGAGCTGGGTTTAACAGGATATTCCAGTCACTGGGAGCTGGGTTTAACAGGATATTCCAGTCACTGGGAGCTGGGTTTAACAGGATATTCCAGCTATACTGGGAGCTGGGTTTAACAGGATATTCCAGCTACTGGGAGCTGGGTTTAACAGGATATTCCAGCTACTGGGAGCTGGGTTTAACAGGATATTCCAGCTACTGGGAGCTGGGTTTAACAGGATAGTCCAGTGTCAATCTCAGACTAAAATCTGGATGCTGTGGCTCAGATTTTCCAGAGACCACAGGCTGCCATCCCTGTGGATTTCCTGGCAAAGCTGGCAAGAAAAGCACTTTCCTAGAGGAGCAAACAGCCAGACTTACTCTGTGTAACATAAGCTCCAAAGAGAATCCACATGGAAGCAATGAGGGAGCCAAACATCAACATGAAGCCGATGAAGAGCCAGATCCGAGCCCCTGCAGGGAGAGTGAAATGTGGATTTTTATCCACGGGGAAAGGCAACCCAGCTGCTCCTCTGGGAGGATGGAACACAGGAGCTCACTAAAGGCACACATGGAAAGGGTTAACCCCAAGGATCAAGGACAAAATCCACCTGCTCAGTCATTGGGAAGGAAAGATATTCCTGTGCTAAGGTTCTCTGGAGCTGGAACTTGAGTGAGACACAAAAAAGCTCCACAGGCCACTT